ATCTGCCGCCCCCCCCCCCCCCCCCCCCCCCCCCCCGTTTCCTAGCATTGTGTTAGATGATTTCTTGTGTCTTTGGGTGATTTTTTGGCTGTCTGTCCAGTACTAGCCTGTAGGCATGGAGAGACTGCCTGTTTGGTACTTTTGTAACATCCTGAGCCCCTGGCGGGCACCTAGTGGCCTTTCAGTAAATATTTGTTGGGTGACATCTGTGGAGCTAGGTCTTGGAGGGAGAGAAGGTTGCTGAATTGGTCTTGCATTTTCCAGAGTCCCAAAAAGGTGGGGATGCTGTGGCGAGAGGCCGGACTCAGCTGGAAGGAATTTCTACCTGAAGGCCAGGATGTCAGTGCATTCGTCGCTGAACAGGTTTGTAGCTGGAATTAGGCTAATTCTAGCATTTGGGACTGGCCATTCTTCTTCCTCTTCCCTCAAAACACTCATGTGGTACACTTACCTCCTGACTGTGGGTCTTTTTGTAGAAGGTGGAGTATACCTTGGGCGAGGAGTCAGAAGCCCCTGGCCAAAGGATGCTCTCCTCCGAGGAGCTGAGCAGGCAGCTGGAGAAGCTGCTGAAGGAGGGCAGCAGTAACCAGCGGGTGTTTGACTGGATAGAGGTATGTTTCTCCTGGGTATTGGGGGAGAGGGATAAAGGAGAGGCAGTTCTTGGTGTGCGGGTAGGGGCATAGTTCAGAACTTAGGGGCCTTTTGTTTCTCGTCTGCACAGGCCAACCTGAGTGAGCAGCAGGTAGCATCCAACACACTAGTTCGAGCCCTCATGACAACTGTCTGCTATTCTGCAATTATCTGTAAGAGGAGCCAGGGAGATGGTGGGGCAAGGGTGGGCCCAGCAGACAAATGGAGGGAGGGAGGTTTTGGTCTTTGCCTCCTGGTTGTGGCCCAGGCCGAGGGTGCATTAGTCCACTTAACTCTGTCTTCTTCCCTGTAGTTGAGACGCCCCTCCGAGTGGATGTCACGGTGCTGAAAGTGCGAGCGAAACTGCTACAGAAATACCTGTGTGATGAGCAGAAGGAGCTGCAGGCGCTCTACGCCCTCCAGGCCCTTGTAGTGACCTTAGAACAGCCCGCCAGTAAGAGCCAGGCTGCAGGGCGTGGGGGTAGGGGTGCTGCCAGGGAGCAGGGGCAGACATGGAAAGGGTCTCAACCCAAGAGAGGGGGGTGGTCCCTGGAGAGCAGAACGCCCTGGTGGTTGATTTCATCCCCCTGCACGGGTTTGTTTTCTGGCCTACAAATGGAAGGAGGTAAGACTCAGCCTTGAAGGTTAATTGGCTGCCATTTTGTACCCAGCCAGCTGTTCGATGCCAGGAGCACGGAGGTGAAAAACGGTAACGATTTCTAAGGACCCAGTGCTCTTGTGGCCTGGCAGGGGGTTGAGAGGCTTTTCTTTCCTTGCCTTATTTAATTCTCACAGCTGTTGTTTAAAGTATGTCCCTGTTACCCCTTTTCCATGTTGGGAGACTGAGGTTTAGGTTAACGTGCCTGAGATTGTGCGTTCGGCAAACAGGTTTGTGCCAGGGCACTGGGACATTGGCAGTGATTAAGTCAAGCACGGTTCTCATGCTGGCCTGGAGTCTAACAGGTGATGAGTGGCTGAAGATGGGTCCTGTGGGGTGCTCTCTGGGGATACCTAGCGTAAGGGATGACAAGTGGGGGGTGGGAATTGACAAAACGGCAGCCCAATGACAAAGGGGAGGGGGCTACTTGAAATGAAGGAATTGTGTGTAAAGGCAGGCCCTGAGGCAGAAGGGACTTGACACAGGTAAAAGAAGTGCCCAAGGAAGGCCAGTGTGGGCGAGCATAAATAGCAGCTAGTTGTGTGTGAGGCAAGATGGGGCTGGAGAGATGGACATGGGCCAGGTCCTGCAGGGCTGTCTAAGCTGTGGGACGAGTTTTGGCCTTCAGCCTAAGGCCAGGAAAAAGCTTTGTGGAATTTTAGTTTTTAGATCATCCTGGCCATTAGTAGGAAGAGTGGTTTGGAATGGGTTGAATGTGAACATGGCAAGAGCAGCAAATTAGGAGCGGGTTCTGTTGCTGGTGGCTCGAGCTTGCTGGTAGCATTGGAGCTGGGAGTGGTGCGGTTACAGTTAAAACATAACCCTGGCATGGTGGGAGAGGTCATGAGAGGTCATGAGAGAGGGGAAGTTACAGGACTTCCAGCATGCTTATTTAGCAGGTGAGGGGATGGCATGGTACCATTTGCCTTGCGGGGGGGGGGGTTGGGAACACTGGATCAGGTTGAGTTTGGTCATGATGAGTTTGTGGTCCCTGGGCAGGGGTGATCAGCGATGTCAGGTAGACAGCTGGGTACGGGAATTCATTTGGAAAGGAAGAGGTCCGGGTTGGTGGCCAATCTGTGAGAAGCTGGCACAGGGCAACACATGCAAGTTACCAGAGGATACGGGATTGCTTGATGAGAGCCTGCGATAGAACGTTCGAGTGGAGGACCCACAGGTAGGGATCAGAGGACGACAGGGCCGTGTGAACAAAGGACGAAGTAACTTTAGGAGAGGGAAGTGGTCTGTAAAGTTAGATGCTACTTGAGAATTCCATAGGAGCAGACCTGAACATTTAGGGCCTTTGGAGTGTAAAAACACGGAGGTCACTTGGGCATATTTGGTAGAGCAGGGGGCAGTCTGGATTGGAAAGGACTGAGTAATGCTTGACTGAGACAGGAAGAAAGGAAAACAGCAAGTGTAGACAGAATCTTTGAATTTAGTTAATTTCTTGTCCAAAGACAAAAATCTTTTGTTTGACTGTAGGAGATGGTGGTTGTAAGGGAGGCCTTTTGTGTTTAGATGGGAGAAACTTGGCCTCAAAAATATAGGGCAGAGTGGATAATTGATTGTGTAGGGTCCCCAGGGTGGGTGTGCATAGAATTTGGAACACAAGTTTAACACATTTATCCCCAAATGGGATAAATGCTCTCCTGCTGTACAATGGGTCTGGGGGGCAGTGGTTGTGGATTTGAGGGTGTGTGTACCCTGAGGAACATCCTGGCTTGCAGCTTCTCATAGATGGCTGTCAGCGTTTCATCTAGACCTGGACTCCAGATTCGAGCAAGGCTTGCTTTAGAAGACAGTGAATTCGCTCCTTGGCCTGCCTTTGGCAGGGCAGTGTGGGGGTATGGGATAGGTTGTGTTCAGGGCTTATAGGACAAGTGCTTGGGAAGGCTTAACTAGTAGTCAGGATGGGGAGAAAGAGGGTCCGAGCAAGGGGCGCTGGAGTTGAGCCTAAAGAAATTCAGTAGGAAGGTGACAAGAGAAAGGAAGTTCCTGGCAAAGGATGCAGCACCTGTAAAAGTGTCAAGGCCAGAGAGGATGTGTATGTTCAGGAGATGTGTGGAAAATAAAGAGGAAATTGGGATCCAGTTTGCTAGCATCTAATGGGGACCAGTGAACGTTCCAGGTTATAAACGCTTGACTTTGGTGAGTGATGTATCTGGGACTTAATGTCATTCCTTAAATTGAGAGGTACCAGTTCCGTGTATAGTTTTTCTCATTAAATATATCATGAGTGAAGCTGCTGAGGTGAAGCTTGGGCAGGTTGGTAAGGTTTTTCTGTGACTCATTACCATGCACCGATCTCGCGAAGAGGTTAACATCTTGTTAGAGACCCACCTAGTCATTCTGGAATGGTCAGACACACAAATACCGGGATGGTGGGTCAGGCCCTTGTTTGAACAGTGGAGCCTGGGAGTGGAATGGGGTGGCTGTGGGCAGCCCTCCTCTTAAGTGCTATTGTCCTGCCTGCTTGCAGATCTGCTTCGGATGTTCTTTGACACGCTGTATGACGAGGATGTGGTGAAAGAGGATGCCTTCTACAGCTGGGAGAGTAGCAAGGACCCTGCTGAGCAACAGGGCAAGGGCGTGGCCCTTAAATCTGTCACAGCCTTCTTCAAGTGGCTTCGTGAGGCGGAGGAGGAGGAGTCTGACCACAACTGAGGGCGGGTGGGGCGGGGGACTTGGAGCCCCATGGACACTCGGATGACCCGGCCACCCGCCCGGACTGCAGGGGGGGGCGGCAGCAGCGGCGGCGGCGGCAATGGGTGCCTGTAGTGCGATGTGTCTGAGCTAATAAAATGGCTGAAGAGGCAGGATGTCGTGGGGCTGCCTGGGGCCCCCCCTCCAGGATGCTGCCAGGTGTCCCTCTCCTCCCCCCTGGGGCACAGAGATATATTATATATAAAGTCTTGAAATTTGGTGTGTCTTGGTGGGGGGGCACCACCGCCTGCCCCTGGGGTCTTTTTTTATTTTCTGAAAATCACTCATGGGACTGCCGTCCTCGCTGCTGGGGGCATATGCCCCAGCCCCTGCACCACCCCTGCTGCTGCCTGGGCAGGGGGAAGGGGGGGGGGCACGGTGCCTGTAATTATTAAACATGAATTCAATTAAGCTCACTGCCTCCCTGCTTCATGGCCTGCTCCCTCTGGAGAAGGGGTATGGATAGGTGGGCAGCCTCCTTTCCAGAGCTGGCACTCTAGCATTGTCCCCTGTAACCTGGCACCCCTGTTGCCTCTTCCCCTGTCCATGATTTTGGGGGTCGGAGGGTCACTTTCCTGGGGGGCTGGACCCTTGAAACGGACATGGTGGGGTGCCTTGTTGGTTGATAGGGGAGAAGAGACAGCTGTGGGGTACTTCCAGAATCTGATGCAGACCCCTATGTGTGGAGGCGGCCCTGGGTTTAAAGCTGTTTATAGCCAGAGAAGTCCTTTATGGCTTCAAGGTCTCATCTGTTTTAAAAAAAAAAAGGGGGGGGCTGGATGCAGGAGTCTGACCGTCCCCATGCGGCGTGCCTGGCATCCGGGGGCCCAGTGAGTTCCCGTCCACCCTTCCCCTTAAGGGTCGCTCCGCAGTGGGGCCTGGGAGGAGAGGACGAGGTGTTTCCGGACTCGGCCCCGGGTCGCCCCTGCGTGGCTGTGACGTATTTCGCCCCGCCCGCCCTGGATGGTGACGCAGATGGCCACGCCCCCGCGCTGACGTCATCGGCCCGGTTCCCTCTCCGGGGAGCGGCGGCGGACGCGCGGCTCCCACCCCCTCCCCTCTTACGGGCTCTCCCCTCCCCGGTGGCGGCCGCTTCCCGACCCTCTGCCAGGCGATGGCCCGGGCCCCGAGCGCGGGCTAGCGTGCCTGGGTGCCCGGCCATGGGCTGTATCGGCTCTCGGAGTCCGGCGGGTCAGGGTAAGAGGTGGAGGCCAGGCACGGGTTGGGGAATTGGGCTGCGGCTGCCCGGTGCGCGGGCCACGGGTGGGTGGGGGCCTTGAGGAGGGGGCCGGTGTCGGGAGAGGGAGGAGCCTGCACCGGGGAGGCGGGCCAGGCAAGAGGAAGGAGAGGGCAGGAGCGGGGAGGGGGCCAAATCGACTCGGCTTTGCTGCCACGGCCTGACTGCTTCTGGGCTTTGCAGGGTAGACTCGTGGTCTTTCCGCCTGGATTCCCACCGCTGAAGGGGGCAGGAGGCGCACAGCCTTGGGAGGGGCAAGGTGTCCATGGCGACTGGCCTTCCACGCCCACACACTCGCCGCCCCCACGGCCCACACCTCTCTTCACCTCTGCCCTGGGAGTGGCCCTATGCTGGAAACCTGCCTCTCCTAGCTGTGTTCCAACCCCCTTAAGGAGGTAGCCTGCAAAGCCCGTCAAGCACCCCACTACCGAGTTTTTGGCTAAAACTTAACTCCTCCCTTCAGAGTCAGATGGTTGTTGAAGGGGACTGAGGCCCCATTTGGGGCACCTGTGAGCACCTGATCACCTTAACTGTTTTAGTTCCTTACCCCACTCCCAACAAAAACAAATCATCGTACCTTGTGGGGGGAAAGAGGAGCCCAGAGAGAGGCCATTAGGGCTTCTTACAACTGCTGATGCCTGCTGCTTGGGTCTTGGTTCCCATGGATGGTGGTGCACGCTGGGGCCTGGCTTCAGTCCTATGCATCTGAGGTCCGCCAGCCTACTTAAGTGTCATGGATTTCTCCAAGCCTAAGGCCAGGCAGGGATTTGTCAGGTTGGAGGGCTGGGTTTGGAATGGGTCCTGGGCTTCCAGGGCAGGTAGTCAGTCATACAGGCCTTAGTGTGGTTGGTACTTGAGATTCTTTGGAGCTAAGACTCTGGCGGGGATTTGTACTCTCTTTGGGTTCCCATGAGGAATTATGGGATTTGTAGTCCTAAAGTAACCTCCTGATTTTGGAAGCTGAGAAGCAGCAGGCTGCTCTGGTCCCTCTGGCCCTGCTAAGGCTTGGAGTTCAGGAAGTCATTCCCTCCTGTAGTCAGGGGAGAGTTTGGCTGACCTTAGGATTGGTTTTGAGAGCCCTGATTAGGTACCAGCTGGGGGCCAGGGATGGCCTGTAACCTTGTGTCTTCCTTCTGGTTGGTAGCATTTCTGGGGACCACCAGCTGGCTGAGGCTCAGGGACAGAGACGGCTGCTCCAGCTAAAGGTCAGTTGGGATGGACATTGCCTGTTGGCACTGTCTAGGGGATGGGCCTCAGCTTCCTGAGCTCCAGAGAGCTCTGCTGGGCCCCTTGTACTCCCACCTCCTCAAAGCCAAGAGGAAGGAGTGTTCTCCTTATGTGACTAGGCACAGGTTCCAAGTGGGGAGGGGACTGGCTCAGCATCCGGAGCCAAAATAAGAATAGAACTGGGAGCTGAGCCTGGAGCGGTTCTGGGCTTTTGGTTCTCTGCATCAACACAGCCAGCATGCCTATGATTTCTGTGCTGGGCAAAATGTTTCTGTGGCAGCGTGAAGGGCCCGGAGGACGATGGACTTGTCAGACAAGTCGCAGAGGTGAGACCAGGGACTGTAGCTGTGATCTGGGAGGTGAGGGGAAGCTGAGGAGTAGGGTGCTCAGGTGGCAAAAGGAAAATTACTCTGGCTTAGATATTGGGAACCAAGATGAGACAGGAACCACCAGGCTGGGGCCAGACAGGGCATCAGGAAAAAAGCTTTAGGGGGCTGGGGTGAAAGTAAGAAAAAATTGTGGGTTTGTTAGAAAAGAAGAGTAAAGAGCTGAGTACCAGATGATGCTGGCGAGAGGAAAGAACCAAGAGAAGGAAGGCACCAAGCCTGTAAAGGGTCCAAGGTGGTGGTGGGGGGAGGATGGCGATGGTGGTGGAAGACCGCAGTGTGCTTTGCAAGAGGAATGGGTAAGGCCGAGAAACCCAAGATTGAGAATTTATGAAAGTTTAGGTTTCATCCCTAGGGTTCTGATGGCAAAAATACATCCAGAGGAGGTAGGGGGGCCGTGGGCTGCCACAGAGTGGCCCCAGGGGCCTGAAGGTCAGGAATGTGGAATAGGGGTTTTCAGAATTGTGGAGAGCACCAGGTGGTTGCTGATGTTCTGCGGGGTGGGGGAGGGGTGAGGAGAAATGATATGGCAGCACCGGGTGAAAATGGGGATATTGGCAGAAGTGGGAGCCCAGGTGAACAGCCTTTCCCCCACCCCTCAGTGGCCTCGGACCCCGCTTGGGCTGTGGAGTGGATCGAACTTCCTCGGGGCCTCTCTCTATCTTCCTTGGGATCTGCTCGGACCCTCCGAGGCTGGAGCCGGTCCTCCCGCCCTTCCTCCGTGGACAGCCAGGACTTGCCAGAGGTGCTGGGCCCCTGGTATTGGTAGGGGGAAGGGGGGCCGCATTCACATGAAGGGGATCTGTATCCCCCACCCCCGCCTTTCCAGCCTGCTTCTGGCTCCCTTTTCCTGCGAGCGGAGGCGCTATCCGGCCAGCGGGGCCCCAAGGCCGCCCCCGCGCCGGTCTGCTCTGCTCGGCGTCGTGCCAGCGGGCGGGCTTTGCTCCCGCCTTGGGCGCTGACGTCAGCGCATCCCAGGCCGTATCCCGGGAGACCCTGTTGCATGGTGATGGGTTGCCAGGGAGACACACACCTTTTCTCTGGGCTTGGGCCGCAGCTGCGCGGAGCGCCGGCACGGATGGCAGTGGCTGGGGGCAGTGAGGGGAGGGAGGGAGAGCAAGCCAGGAAACACCCAGCAGGTGCTCCTCCCCCCAGGCCTGGCCGGAAGCTAACGGCGCCACCCTGGGGCCCCTGTAAGCCAGGTACTGAGGTGGGGGGGGGGGGGGGGGGAGGGGAGCAGAGGGTGGGGCTGAGGTCAAGGGAGCAGCTGGAGCCCCTCTTGTGAGGGGTGGGAACCTGATCAGGAGAGCTAGGCAATTCCGGGGAGGGGGCATGTGCCTCTGACTTCATTCATTCATTGAGGGAAACATTTTCCAGGCTTGCCAAGGAACACTGAACCAGGTGCAGGGTGGAGGTAGGATCCCAGGTGAATCAGAGTCAGGCCCTGCCATCCCGGGATCCCTCAGGAGAGATGCAAGGGCAATGCTGGCGTGGGGGTGGGGGTATTGAAGAAGAGAGAAAACTGGACTGAAAACGTAATAGGAGGTGACACTTGAGTCAGGCCTTAGATGGTAGAGAGCATTTTGTCAGGCAAGGATGGCGTTCTTAGCCCAGGGGAGAGCTGGGTTCCTTTGCCTGGAGGCAAGAAGGCGGTTTGCCGGCAGGGAAGGTGGAAGTGGGGTTTTCCTGGGCAGAGGGTCTAGGTGGTGGATTCCAAGGCCTGAAGGGGGCAGGGGGCTCACAGAGTGGGCCCCCTCAGTGCCTGGCTGTGAAGCTAGCACTTCACTGGGCAGTGGAGGAGCCCAGAAAAGATTTTAAATAGGGACATGTGACATATGACCAGTTACACTCTGGGGAAAATTATTTGTTTACATTTATACTTTGCCTCATTCATTCAGCCGATGTATTTGGAAAGGTTACTCTGTACCAGGTACTGTGCTAAACACTGGCGTGCAGCAGTGACCAAAAGAGACCAAATTCCTCCAAGAGCTAAAGACCAGTGAGGGGGACCAATGACCAGTAAGGAAACACACGAAGTAGACCATGATTACACACACAGGGTACGTTCATAGAGGATGGTGCCTTGTTACAGAGGGAGGATGGACAACTGGTAGGGCAGCCAGGAAGAGCCTTCTGAGGGAATGATGTTTCAGCCAGGACCAAAAGATGAGAAGGAGTCAGCCAGCCCTGGGGAGGAGGGAGAAGGAACACTTACACAACGTTCTAGGCTGAGAAAATTCCATGAATTGAAGGAGCTTGGGGGACCACAACTGTGCTAATCTGAACATGGGGTCTTGAGGGCTTGAGGAAGGGAGGGCAGTGGCAGTGGGAGTAGAAAGGATGAGCAAAGCTTAGGGGACAGTTGATGGTAATGCTGAGGTTTGGAGCCATGCTGAGTGGGCAAATGGTTGGGTGATGCTGCGTAAGGAAGTCAGGAAACAGGGCCAGATGTGGGAAAAGGTGTTGGGTTTGGTTTTGGTCATGCTGAGTGTGTGACCCTGGTAGGCTGTAGAAACAGCTGGAAGACTGAGAGGGGGAGAGGGGCAAAGAGGAGGGAACCTGGAGGAAGTCCTTGATGCCGTAGCTTTCTCCCTTCCTCTTTTTTCTTCTCAAAGGCCCCACCCCGTGGTTCTTGACTTCCCAGCCTGCCTCCTTCCCCTCTGGGAGCTGGGAAGATGGAGGTGGGGGGTGGTAGCTGCAGTTCTGCTCCTTCAGGTCAGCCTGAATCTCTGCTGCTCCTTGAGAGGACACGGCTTGCTGGCCCTGGCTTCTTACTCTCCGTCTTACATACCCCAGCAGCCACTGGCACATATGTGCTACCCTGGCATCTCTTCCCAGCTCCCGTACCCCCTTGGCACCTTGGGTGGGCTGTGGGCATGGAGGGGGATGCTGCTGTCAGAGGAGCACTGACCCTCTGATGCTGTCACCCAAGGTGAATGTTGGAGACACAGTCGCGATGCTGCCCAAGTCCCGGAGAGCCCTAACTATCCAGGAGATTGCTGCGCTGGCCAGATCCTCCCTGCATGGTACGCACCCCCCTCCCATACCTCTGGCCACTTTGTCCTTCCTTCTTCCTTTTGCACTTACCCTTGGGGGCTGTATCCTGTGAGCTCTTGCGGGGATCTCCCCCTTCCTCCCCTTCTCAGATGAATCTCAGCTCCCTCCTCCCATCCAAAGGCACATGTGGACCCTAACTACCACCACCCTTCCACTTCCCTCCCTGGCCTGTGCCCTCACCAGGCTTCCTCCTTCTGCCCCACCTGAAGGTATTTCTCAGGTGGTGAAGGACCACGTGACCAAGCCCACCGCCATGGCACAGGGCCGAGTGGCTCACCTCATTGAGTGGAAGGGCTGGAGCAAGCCAAGCGACTCGCCTGCTGCCCTGGAATCAGCCTTTTCCTCCTATTCGGACCTCAGCGAGGGTGAACAAGAGGCTCGCTTTGCGGCAGGTGGGGACAGGAAGGGGTCAGCCACACGTTTGTCATTGGGATGCTCTTCCCACACCCCCATCTCTTCTCTCTCCTGTCTCCAGCCTGAGCCCTAGTCTTAGTCCTTCAGCTAATGAATCCTGCTAAGGAACCTTCTCTGCTAATAAATTCTTTGGCCTCCCTGACAGGAGTGGCTGAGCAGTTTGCCATTGCAGAAGCCAAGCTCCGGGCCTGGTCTTCAGTGGATGGTGAGGACTCCACCGATGAATCCTATGATGAGGACTTTGCTGGAGGAACTGACTCAGGTAAGGGGTAGGCAATGCCAGTGCTGGGATGGGCCTGCCCGAGAGGCCTTGTGATTCCGAGCTCAGCCTTCGGAAGGGGACGGTGGGGGCAGACCCTGTCCCGGCCGTGCCTTGACCTTCCAGGGCCAAGAGGGCTGTTCTCACTCGTGGGTGGGCAGTCAGCAGCTACAAATGGAGTGGTTCCTTTAGCCCACGTGCTAAGCCTTTTCTGCCCGTCTGTGCCATTGGGCCTTGTGGTCCAGAGACCTCACTGACACCTTCTGGGCAGTTGCATCTCTGGGGCGGGTGGGGGGGGGGGTCCGCTGTGCCTTGCCTTCCCCTTTCGGGGCAGCCTTCTGGCCAGCTGTGGCAGCACAGATGAGCCGGCAGCATAGCACCTCCCAGGGCTGGGGCCCCAGGCAAACAGGAAGGCGTGCTGGGCCTGGACTGCCCACAGGGCCATGCTGGCTCAGGCTCAGCCTCCTTGAATTCCATCTGAGACCTGCCTCTGGGCCTTTCTCTGGGCTAGCGCTTGCAGAGGGGACCCTGCGGGGCTGTGCAGCTGTGCACGGCCCTCCTTTCATCTTCCGATTCTTCCTGGACCACATGGCTGACTTTCTCTGTAGCTTCTGGGCTCATGCCTCACAACACCCCACCGCCCCATACTTCTTTGCCTTTGAAGATTGCCTCCACCAGCCCCCACCCGTCCAGCTAATTAACAGATTCTCCAAGGGCAATACAGTAGAGCAGATTGGCAATATGTTAGACCTCTGCTGTGGTCCAGAGGTGACTGATTTGGATGACTGATTTGGAGGCCAAGATGGAGCCCTGAACCACAAACATTCTTGTCTGATTGAGTTCCAGGCCTGATTTGACCCCTGGTATAATGATAACAACTAACATTTATCCAAGGCCACTACTATCCCACGTAGAACCTTTGTGCAAATTAGAAAAAAGCACCTCTTTCTCTGGTGGGCGCAGCCCGATGCTAGGCCTCGCTGTTTGGTGAGCAGAGTGTGGGCTGAACTCCAGTCCACACTCACTGCCTTGGACAGGCTCCCCTTGTGCAGGGAACCAGCGGCATGACCGTGTGTGGTATCTGTGCATTTATTGCTCTCTTACTGCATGCTGCATTCTTTTGTTCTCTCAACAACCCCATAAGTAGGTCTATCAGATTCCCCAATTCTCCCTCCACAATAAGCGGGAGGTGCTGAGAGGCGAAGTTAGCGAGCTCCTACCCTCTCCCCCCAGAGCTAGCGGCGCCGAGGGTGGAGTGGGGAGAACGTGGCTCCCTCCAGGTGGGCCCGTTGAAACGGGGCAGGTAGGGCTATCTTCTTTTTCTCTCCCCCTGCAGAGATGGCCGGGCAGCTGCCTCTGGGGCCCCACCTCCAGGACCTCTTCACCGGCCCCCGGTTCTCCAGGCCTGTGCGCCAGGGCTCTGTGGAGCCTGAGAGCGACTGCTCGCAGACCGTGTCCCCAGAGACCCTGTGCTCCAGCCTCTGCAGCCTGGAGGACGGGTTGCTGGGCTCCCCAGCCCGCCTGGCCTCCCAGCTGCTGGGCGACCAGCTGCTCCTCGCCACACTGCCCCCCAGCCGGGAAAGTGCCTTCCGTAGCCTGGGCCCATTGGAGGCCCAGGACTCGCTCTACAGCTCGCCCCTCATGGAGTCCTGCCTTTCCCCCGCCGAGGAGGAGCCAGCCACCTGCAAGGACTGCCAGCCTCTCTGCCCGCCGGGCAGCTGGGAACGGCAGCGGCAAGCCTCTGATGTGGCTTCTTCGGGGGTGGTGTCCTTAGACGAGGACGAGGCAGAGCCGGAGGAACAGTGACCCAAATCATGCCTGGTGGTGGCATGTGTCTCCCGGCTGCTGCTGGGGGCAAAGCCTCTGTGCCCAAGTGCGGGCAAGAGGCTTCCGGCAGAGCTCCAAAGCCTAGAGGGCTCCTGGGAGCACTCACTCCTCTGTTGTGTGTTTTGCATGAAAGTGTTTGGAGAGGAGGCAGGGGCCAGGCTGGGGGCGCATGTCCTGCCCCCACTCCTGGGGTTTGCCGGGGCTTGCCCGGGGCCCCTGGGGCATGGCTACAGCTGTGGCAGACAGTGATGTTCATGTTCTTAAATCAAAAACGCCACATACACATTTCCTCCTTGGATGATGTGAACCCCTAAGGGGGTGGTTGTGATTGGGCCGTGTGGGGTGGAAAGGGAGGGAGCCCGCCCCTCCCCCCCGCCCCCTTCCCCATGCCTCTCTCTTCTCTGCTTCTCTCCACCTCTTGAGTCCATGTGCAGTGCTCGATAGAATCACCCCTACCCCAGGGCGGGCTGGCTCTTACCCTCCTGGAGCCTAGGATTGAGCCATCCCCCAAGGGCCCCTCACCCAGCTGGGCTCGTGCTGTGCTTCGCCTCTCCATCACCTCTAAATCTTCTTCTTTTTCCTAAAGAAAGAGGGGTTTTGGTCTGTTCTTTCAGTCGGATGTTCTCTGGGAGGCATTGGATTGATGAAAGCATGTACCCTCCACCCTTTTCCTGGCCCCTTGTACGATGTGTGGGCAGGGTCCCAGCGGCTCCCAGCCTGCCTGGCTGCCCCCATTCACCAAGTTCTCCTTAGAGCCGAGCTGGCAGAAGGGGTGGGTGGCTCTGGTGGCTTCGGAGCTGTGACTTTGCTGTTCTCCCGGAGAGGGTCGCAAGGGGGCCATACGGGTGGCTGGGCAGTTGTCTACTGATGCCTGAGCCCGGCAGAAATGGTGCCAACGAGCGACGGTTGGTCGTGTGGGAGTGTCTCTCCTTGGGGAGGGAAGAGAGTAGTGCCTTTCTTGGCTGAACAAAAGGCCAAAGCTACAGTACTGAGGGCCTGTGCCCTAGCTAGGATTTTGCTAACTAAGCAGTGGAGGCCTCTGTAGATCCCGTATTCCACAGACAGTGAGCTCTGGGTTTGGAGGGTGCGGGGGATGTGGGTGGCTGCAGAATTCGGAGCCTTGTAGGCTTTGGCAGGTAAGAGGGCCCAAGGTAAGAACAAGAGCTGATGGGCACAGGCGTTCTATATATAAGTGGCTCATTAGGTGTTTATTTTGTTCTATTTAAGAATTTGTTTTATTAAATTAATATAAAAATCTTTGTAAATCTCTATATACATCTGGTCATTGGAGGAGGTTCCAGTATAAACCCATCTTAGTTCTACCCCTTTTCCCCTCAGAGGGGGAGCAGGGGTCAAGTGACTCCACCCCTATCCTGCCAGGGGGGATGCTGATCTTCCTGCCTATGGAATACTTGCTGCAGGTAGGCACTCGGTCAGATTCCAGGTAGGACGAACCAGGAGGAGCTTGGCACCACCCCAGGCCTGGAAGGGAGGCTAAGGCTCCAGCCTTTAGTGTAGCCACCTCCTTTCCCAAGGCAGAAGGAATAGGAGAGCTTCAGGATTGGCCAACTGCCACGGCCACTGCCACTGCCATCCTAGGCCGCCCATTGAGGGGTTCATTGGCACTTGTCATCGCTGTCAGAAGGGCTCCCCTCCCGTGGGAGACCATGATGGGAGCGGGGCCCCCAGAGTGCATGCACCTCCGTGGTCTCCGTGTCACTGCTGCTGGTGGCACTGTCACGGAAGCTGGCGAGGGGCGGCCGGACTTTGACGCCCTGTGCTGTGACGGAGCCCTCGATGGCCTTCCGGAGCTGGAGAGGGGAGAGGGTCAGATGTGTGCACTCTGCGCTCCCTGCTCAGACTCCACCCTCAGGTGGGCTGGACACAAAGCCTGCATGCCTTTTTCAAAGCAGAAATGGTTTGATGGCCATTTATCATCTCACCTCCTTTAGAGTGACGATCCCAATGAGTCTGCCAATACTGGTGACATAAGCATGGTCCACTCCCAGTAGCGAGAAGATGGTGTGAGTCTGCGGGGTCGGGAGAAAACACACCGGACGTCATGCGCAAGGGCACAATTCTATGTTACTGGCCAGAGGGTCCCAGGACAAGGTGGGGGGTGGGAAACAGGAGGGGTGCCATAGATGGTGGGGGGGAAGGGAGGGCCACTGGAGGGAAAAGAATAATGAGAATGTTTCAGCAGCCAGGCCTCAGAAACTTGATAATGGGTAGCTTTATGTTGCTTATGTTGGTGGAGAAACAGAGGAAGGATTCTTCGTCCCATGTTGGAAAGGAGGATGATGGAGGAGAGAACAGCTGTTCAAATGTGACATCTAATGATTGGCCAGGCACTGGGCTAGGGCTTCCTGAAATTAGCAGCTAATTTCAGTCCTGTTCTGAGGATGATACCCATGCTACGGGAGGGGCAACATGAGGCTCAGTGGTGCGATGACTCTGCAGCTCCAGAAGGAGCTTTTCATCACACTGTGGGAGGAGGAGACTTAGCGCCAGTCCCTGTGCAGATGTCCAGTCAGTCACGGAGGTATCCGTAGCCTTTAGGGGTACCGGCCCTGGGCTCCGTGCCTCTCGCCCCACTTTAGTGGCTGACACATGCTTCCCGTTTGCCTCCAACTGGCTGGCAGTTAAAGTGTCCCCTCCCCTGGGCTCCGACACGTCAGTTGTGGCCTGAAGCTCTCTATGTCTCGCATACAGTTTGGCTCTTCTGGGGCCCAAGTAGCATCCCAGGTGTTGCTGAGATGGAGCCTGAAGTCCAGGGAAGCGACAGCCATCCACATGCTCCCATGTTTTTCTTGGTTTGGGCTCTCCCCCTCAACTTTTACATGTAATCCCCGAGGGCTCAGAAATTGTCAACCAGCTTCCCTTGTGTTCTAAGTAGATTTTCTTGGGCCAGATGTCTTGAAAAACACTCTACTGACACGGCCCTTCCTGGAATTTGGGGCCTATCACTTATCGCTGTGTTTTGAGTTCACTTTTAAGCCTCTTGGCTTAGTGTCTGAATCAAAATGGGCATTAATAACCCAGCTTTTCGAGTACCAGTTACTCAAACTCATTATAACCGTCTGAAAGCTTTAAAAACATTTTCTTAAACAGGTGCTGAATTTTTTTATTAAAGGACTTCCAGAACTTAACTAACTCTCCAGCTAAGGCATGACCATACTTATAAAAGCAGTTAGAAGTTCAGTTTTAGAGTAAGCTTTTCTGTGTTCCTTCAATACCTTTCTCACAACTGTCATGTGGTTACTAGCAAGTTCTTCCTCATATCCAACTTCAATCCTGCGTGCTGCACTTTTCCTTTTATTTCCTCATCTGACTTCAAAGGGAAACACATCTTTGTTATGAGATTTCTTGTCCTAATAATCCTGTAGCTTTGTCTTCTTATGTTTTAATAATCCCTCTATCTTCTCCCAAGTATCCTACTAAATCATTCCCCGGATTCTTCTTTTTCTCCACAGTCCTAATGAGAATGAGCTTCTGGCAGGCGATGTGCCTTTTAGGTTTGCAAACCACTGGTCCCCGGCAGTCACCAAGCGCTGCTGATTTGCTTCTTGAACATCTTGGCCATCCTCTCTGACTCCACAACATCCTCATGGGGTCTGTTTTTGGTCTCCCTTCCCTCCCACTTGGCTCTGCCATCCTATGAGCTTTCTCAGACTTGAGTTAGAGCCCAGACTCCCCAGTATGGCCCACAAGACCCTTCTCAAAGCCGTACCAGCTGGTCTTTCCAGCCTCGGATTCTGCCAGGCCCTCCAGCTTCCAGCCTCACATAATCACTCATCTTTTTTCTGAAAACGTCCATTTCTTACACACGTCAATCCTTCCCTCGCTACACTACCTTTTAAAGTCCCCCACTGTCCGCCTCTCAGTACAAGCAGTGGTAGGAGTCATTCCTCACAGATATGGAACTTTAGAACTCCTACTAGGAGTTCTAAATAGCACTGTTCTAAATATCCTGTATCAAGTCCTTCATCCAAAGAAAAACCTCTGCTAGGGTACTGATCCCCATCCTACCGATAAGGAAAGTGAAGCCCAGAGAGGCTAAGAAATTTACCAAGGCTCCCCAGCTAGCTGACACATGGCGGACTGAGGATTTGGGTAAAGCCTGGCTGGCCCAGCTTTGACACCCCAGCCTCTCCTGCCTCCCCCACTGCTTGTCTGTGGGTGACCTCAGAATGAATGCGGCATCTAGCTGGTATGGCTGGCCAGCTCTAGACTTGCGGCTTCCTAAATAGTTCCCAGTGAATTCCCTCTCCTCCTGAATGTTCTCCTCCTGAACTTGATTAGGCTACTACTAATTGCTTCCTCAGGCCTGCAAGGACATTTTGAATTCTAATCTTTTATGTTCTTATCGCTTCCAGTTCTTTGTACTTTTGTTGGTCGGTTCCTCAAAGGCTTCTTCTCTTCCTCTGATTTTTAAGTTTGTAACAAACACCCACTTTGTTCTTTTTTATTTTAATTTAATTAGACACCGGGGAGTCCATTGGAGGGCCTGCACATCTTGGGCTTGGGAACAGTGGATTGACAGGGAGAGCGACAACAACATGGCCATCTGAAAGAATCCTGGGATTGGGGCCAGGAAATCTGGGCTCTGGGCCTCACTCTGCTCTATTGACTCAGGCAAGGGACCTCCTCGCTGCCTCAGTCTCCCCGGGTATTAAAGTGGTTAAGTCCCCAGGCTTTTGGGTCAGACCATCTTGGGTTCCAGTCCAGCTGTGCTGCTTACTAGCTGTGTGACCTTGGGCAACTTGCTTAACTTCTCTGAATCTCAACGTCCTCATCTGTAAAAACTGGAATATCACAATATCTATTTCACAGTCTTGTTATGAGGATTAAATTAAACATGAAGAGCTTGGCAAGTTCCTGGCACAGAAGCAGACACTAAAAAAACGGCAACATTCTTATCACCATCATCATTATGGGATATTTGAGGACTAAGTGAGATGATAGAAAAGCTTTAGAGGTCTTAGGAAGAAAGGCTTTAAATAAAAACTCAGTGTATTCTCAGGCCTATAGATTTTTTTCTTGCAACTGCACTGTAGTTTCCTAGTCGCTTTGATCTGAGGTCTTTACCCAAAGGCTTGTAAGTTCCTTTATTGCCTTTTGCTTTTTTGTTGTTGTTGTTATTGCCTTCTGCTTTTCTGTTTCTTTGTGCCCTGTGCTTTCTGCCCAGCCCCTGCTTGTCGGAGATAGGCTGGCTCTTCAGCACAGCTTGCACCTCAGCTAGCTGCCGGGGCTGCAGACCTTGGGAGTGTTCCTCCGCTGCCGGCAGCCCCCGTGCCTTGGAGGCGTGCACAATTTAGCTAAAATACTTGGTTTCTACCCCAGCACCCTGCCGGGTTTGCCTGCATTCCCTTAGAAGCCTGAAGATGCCTGATGATGCCCCTGCTCCACGCTGGGGAGCCCCCACCCTCCGGCGTCAGCCTCAGCCTCCACCAACCTGTCTGCACTCAAGTTTTCTCCCCACTTCTGCAAGCCGGTTTGCCCTTCTCCTGAGCTATCGTCCCGTGTCCCTACCAGTTTTCCTTTGGCCTACATTAAGTCAGACTTTCTGGGGTCTGACATTCCAGGCCCCCCACTGGGCGTTTCTCATCTTTGTTTATCTCTTCTCTGCAGTGTCCCCACCCCTACTTGGATGTTTGTTAGCTTGTTTATTAGATTTTCTTGTCCTGCTTGTTTCTCATCCATTTTTTTCAGCGTGGGTGTAACAGCCTTGTTGGGTGCTGGCAGTCTCCCGCCTGCCTCTGACCCTCTCCTGGCCTTCTGGCTTCCACCCAGCTGAAACCCTGTCTTTGTTGCTGCTTTGGTCCAGAGTTCCCAGGGGGCAAGGCTGAGCAGGGGAAAAATGATGCCTGGCTTCACGGTAGGCAGGAAGAGGCTAAGGGGCCCTGGCTCCTGGCCTCCCATCCTTTGAGGCAGTGTGTCTGAAAAACATCTCAGCCAAGAGCCCACCCTCTGCTGTCCTGTTTTACCCCACTGGCCTGCGTCCAAACTGTGGGAGGACCTAGATCCCCACCCTGTGCTCCTGAGAGCCCAGGCCAGCCCCAGACCAGGGGCCACGGCCCCTACCTTGTGCAAAGAGGTCCGCTCCACCAGCTGGAAGGGGGCGGGGTCAATTTTGCAGTCACTGAAGTTGACAGGTTCATCCAGTTGCTGTTCTTCCCACTCCAGAATCTGAGAGGATGAGACTAAGAGGATTAAGGGGAAGGTGCCAATAGCTACTCTCGCCTCCCTGAAAGCTGGCCGGTCC